CTAGGCCGACCCCTACCCCACCTTCCTTCCACTACAGACTGATACACTCTTGAAGTCATTCTGTTTCGCTCCATTCTCTCTACATGTCCGAACCACCTCAACAATCCTTCCTCAGCCCTCCGGACAACAGTTTTGGTAATCCCGCACCTCCTCCTAACTTCCAAACTACGAATTCTCTGCATTATATTCACACCACACATTGCCCTCAGACATGACATCTCCACTGCCTCCAGCCTTCTCCTCGCTGCAACATTCATCACCCATGCTTCACACCCATATAAGAGTGTTGGTAAAACTATACTCTCATACATTCCCCTCTTTGCCTCCAAGGACAAAGTTCTTTGTCTCCACAGACTCCTAAGTGCACCACTCACCCTTTTCCCCTCATCAATTCTATGATTCACCTCATCCTTCATAGACCCATCCGCTGACACGTCCACTCCCAAATATCTGAATACATTCACCTCTTCCATACTCTCTCCCTCCAATCTGATATCCAATCTTTCATCATCTAATATTTTTATCCTCATAACCTTACTCTTTCCTGTGTTCACTTTTAATTTTCTTCTTTTGCACACCCTACCAAATTCATCCACCAATCTCTGCAACTTCTCTTCAGAATCTCCCAGGAGCACAGTGTCATCAGCAAAGAGCAACTGTGACAACTCCCACTTTACATGTGTTCTTTATCTGTTCACTTATATGTTTCACTGTAAACACCTGGTCCACACACCCCTACCTTTCCTAAAGCCTCCTTGTTCATCTGCTATCCTGTTCTCAGTCTTACTTTTAATTCTTTCAATAATAACTCTACCATACACTTTACCAGGTATACTCAGCAGACTTATCCCCCTATAATTTTTGCACTCTCTTTTGTCCCCTTTGCCTTTATACAAAGGAACTATGCATGCTCTCTGCATGCATAGTTATTCTATAGTTATTCTTTAGTTATTCTATAGTTATTCTTTAAAAAATGTTTTTTTTTTTTTAATATTTTTGGGTGTCTGGAACGGATTGGTTGGATTTACATTATTTCTTATGGGAAATACTGCTTTGACTATTGAACAATCTGAGCTTTGGCCGAGCTTCTGGAACAGATTATGGCCGAAACTTGATGTTCCACTGTAAGTGAATTAAGGAAGAAGACAGTTTTGGAAAGAGATAAGCAACAATTGAGGGAAAGGCAGGCAAGAGAACTCAAAGGAAATGAAGAGGTGATCATGAAGGTATGGGGTCAATTTGATTAAGAATGCATTGTGAGATAAAGAGAAAATATAGCATACGAGAGGTTATTGCAGTGCAAAAATGACCGACAGAAGGCTGAGTATATGGACAGGAAGAGGGAGGTTAGAAGAGTTGAGGAAATGCAAAAGGAAAGTCAATAAGAGAATGAGGAAGTCTTTATCAGGAACTTTTGCTGAGAATAAGAGATAGTTTTGGAGAGAGATCAATATGGTGAAGATGCCTGGAGAGCAAATGGACTTAACAGTTAAAAATGAAAGAAAGAGGGTGTTAGATGGGGAGGTGGGGTACAGGAAAGTCAACATAATATTTTGAAGTATTGTTGAATATTAATGAAGGCGAGAAAATTATTTCATGCACTGGGCAAGAAAGGATAAGATTGTATCAGGATTGAAGAGGAACCTGAGGTGGATGTGGGGAAAGTGCACAAGCCAGTGGGTAGAATGAAAGAAGTTAAAACAACTAAGATACATGGGATTAAGAAAGAGATGCTTAAAGAAGAAGAGATACAATGGACCCTCGAATTTTGCAATTAATCCGTTTTAGAGTGTGTGGCGAAAGTTGAAATTTACGAATAGCGAGACCATTTTCCTCATAAGAAATAATGTAAATCCAATTAATCCATTCCAGACACCCAAAAGTATTATCAAAAATATTTTTTTACATTAAAGATAGATTTACAAACAGAAAAGAATGAGAAATTAAGTATAAAACAATAATAACATCACACTTACCTTCATTGAAGACTCTTGTTGGTGTATGGAAGACGGAGGAGGGGAGAGGGGTTAGGGTGATGTTCCTCCACAAATGTTTGCACCTCACTTCACTTTGCACAAATGTCCTTAATCTTTGAAGAAGGCACCTTCTTCCCTCTCTCTTCCTCCTCCTCTAAAGCAATTTCCTCAGCTGGTGTGCATAAGAACATAAGAAAGCAGGAACACTGCAACAGACCTGTTGGCCAATACTAGGCAGGTCCTTCACAAACCATCCCACTAACAGAATATTTGCCCAACCCAATTTTCAATGATCCCAAAGCAATAAGCCTTAATAATGAATATCAAAATGGTATACAATACCGACAGGTTGGTAGGTAAGACACATAGGCAACAGTTAGGCAACTTTATTCAGAAACGTTTTGCCTACACAGTAGGCTTTTTCAGTTGACTCTTAGAAAGTAAGTAGGAGCAGTTGAATTGTGAAGACGATGTAATCAGTCCATCACCCTTGAAGTCGTAGATTTGAGGTTGTCAGTCCCTCAGCCTGGAGAAGAGTTCTGTTCCATAGTCTGAAACTATCTAATAGTTTCCATAGTCTGAAACTATCTGACAGTTTCAGACTATGGAACAGAACTCCTCTCCAGGATGAGGAACTGACAACCTCAAATCTATGACTTCAAGGGTGATGGACTGATTACATCGTCTTCACATCTCTACTACTCTTGCCTACTTTCTCTACTCGACTGAAGAAGCCTACTGTGTAGGCGAAATGTTTCATAATAAAGTTGCCTAACTGTTGCCTATGTGTCTTACCTACCAAGCTTTGATAATTCTATTCACTCATGCACAAGTCCCACTCAAATCAAATCGTGTGTGTGGGAAAATACCCTGTCTGGTGTGTGGGGAAGTACCCTGGCTGGTGAGTGGGGAAGTGCCCTGGCTGGTGTACATAAGAAAGCAGGAACACTGCAGCAGACCTGTTGGCCCATACTATGCAGGTCCTTCACAACCCATCCCACTAACAGAATATTTGCCCAACCCAATTTTCAATCCCCAAGCACTCATGGGTAAGTCCCAGCAAATTAGATCATGTGTGTGTGGGGGAAATATCCTGGCTGATGCGTTCTTTCTTGAATTCTATCGTGTTTCTCGCCTTCTTTACCAAAGGGTTGGAACTAGGAGCTTTCTTTTGGCCTAGGGTAGCTTATTTAGCAGTTGCAAGCACAAAAAAGAATGGATTATTACGAAATGTATCGTATGAACGCATGGGGTGATGGTCACTCGCCAATAAACAATGCCACATTGACTGGGAATGGTGTGTGGGGTGCCTTTGTGTGGTGCAGACGCTGGGAGGCCACTCATACACGTTCCGGACGAAAGACAAATGGCAAGCCAAATTACGAACCGCGAGGCTATATTTTGACGAAAATTTTGTCAAGTCAAAATTTACGAAGCGCGAGCCTTACAAAACTTGAGGGTCCACTGTACAATGTTGAAGTGGTCATTGTATTTAATTAGCATATGATTAAAAGAAGGGAAGGTACTAAAAGATTGGCACAGAATGTGCATAGTTCCCCTGTATAACGAAAAAGGCAACAAAAGATAAAAAAAAAGAATGGAAGGGGTGAGAGAGTTTGTGTGCAAGGGGCTTGGACATACAGCAAGCATGTGTGAACGTCTTAGAAAGGAGTGAATGGAGACAAATGTTTTTTGGGAGTTGATGAGTTGTTGGAGTGTGAGCAGAGTTAATAATATTTTGTGAAGGGATTCAGGGAAACCAGTTAGCCAGACTTGAGTCCTGGAGGTGGGAAGTACAATGTTTGCACTTTAAAGGAGGGGTTTAGGATATTGACTGTATGGAGTGACACCTGAAATGTCATATCTGGGCACCTCTGCAAAGACAGTGATTATGTGCAAATGATGGTGAAAGTGTTTCTTTCTTTGTTTGGGTCACTCTGCCTCAGTGGGAGATGGCCGACATGTCTGTTGAGTATACTGGGTCAAGTTTACAACAGAATTATTATTCAAAGGGTTAGGGGTAAGACAAAGTAGGATTGCAAAGAAGCAAGGGAGATTTAGGAAGGGTAAGGGATGTGTAGACCAAATGTTTACATTGAAGGATGTGTGTAGTGCTTAGAAAAGGGTAGAAAGTTGTTTGCTGTATTTATGGATTTAGAGAAGGCATATGAAAAGGTGGATAGGGAGACCAAGTGGCAGATGTTGCAAATGTACAGACTAGGAAGTAGGATATTAAAAGCAGTTAAGTTTTATAGAGAAAGCAAAGCTCAAGTTAGAATATGTAAGAGGAAGAGAGACTATTTTCCGGTGAAAGCAGGACTTAAACAGGGATGTATGATGTCCCATGGTTGTTTAACATATTTATAGATGAGCTGTATAAAGAAGTGAATGATAGGGTGTTGGGAAGACGTGTGGGATTAAAAGATATTGGATCTGACACCAATGACATAGCTCTTTTGTGTTGATTCAGAAGATGAGTTGCAAAGGCTGGTGGACGAATTTGGGAGGTATGTCAAAGAATTAAATTAAGAGTGGATGCAAAAGAATAGCAAGGGTAGGCCTGGTTAGTTTCCAATTAAGTTTAATCTAATTTCTTTAACCTAACTGTATCTCCACCAGCTTGTCATACATCATACATACTAAACTGGTTCCTAAGCATCTAGCTAAATGAGAGATATATACCTTTTTATCTGTCAGTCTGCAGTAGAAACTTAAAACTCATTGCAGTAATAAGTTAACTCATAATTATTGTTATCATCCTAGCACAGGGAGTTTGCAACTTCTTGCCAAGACTGGTTAAGAGTGAAAATATCCACAGTTTTGTCACCACCTTTAGTTCCTCACAAAACAAAATTCCTTCTGTACGTATTGCCCATAAAAACAAACTAAGAATCATATAAAAATTAATGTTATCAAAACATAAATGGCATTATTTAATCTGCACCAGAACATTTTAATTTTATTCATTACTATATAATATAAATAGCTTGCTCATGGTATACGTGAAGAAAAATATAATCATACCTTGCTATTTGTGTTAGCCTTGATGCTGATGCCTTGCTCCTGGCGCTGAAGAATAAGGGTTGTGGCGTGTTCCAAGTCACCTCCACAGCTAGCTAAACAGTGTTGTACTTCCAGGTTGCAAGTTCCTGGGAACATCTCAAGTAAGGTTGCCAAGCCCTCCGTGTATTCATTTTGCTGAAAGTAAGATTGCAATTCTTTTATGCAAACTAATTTGGGCGAGCTCTAAATTTAACCTCAAAGTTTTAGTTAAGTTCCCAGAGTTACCTAGAGTGCTAAAGCCACCTTTGGATGACTTTATCTTGTAGCAGTCTAACCTTTCAAGTTAGCATCAATTTCACTGGGTATAGTAGACATCACTTGAGATTTATGAGAATTAATTAGATTAAGTAAAAATACAAGCAGCAGAAATCAAGTTCTTAAATGCTGGATACAGAGTTAGGTGAGGGGACAAACTAAGAAATATACAGTAAATGTTGGAAGATTACAGTATATGGAACATTACTTGCTACAATATTCAAAATATTCTCTTGTATTAAAAACTTACTTCATCTCCATTGGTACTATTCTGTTCATCTGATCCACTTGATGTCTCAGAAAGTTTCTGAGATCTTTCACTCGTTTCACTTATTGACTGTGAGTTGCAATGTTTGCGAGTTTCCACAGGGAATGATGATATCAGAGCATCTAATGTTAAATCTTTGCCGGATTTCACTGAAAATAAATAAACAAACATTTCGTGTAATGTAATTACATCCTCCCTCATGGGTGAAAAGTACTCTAGTAATTCTTATTTCTGAATGAGGTAACTAAAATATTCATTAATGATTTGCTGGTACTTCCGGCCCGGGTCTTATCCAGATGGCGACCCAGCGAAATATACGTGTATACAACTACTGAACACCCATGTGTCATACCAAAGTACAGTACAGCATAACAAAATGCTGCATACACTTTCTGTAACTTTTATTATATTGCTTCAGGAGTACTTACCCTTTTTACTTTAATAAACCTTATTACTGCTTAACTGTGTTTACAAGAAGGAAACTTCAGCTCCTAGACTGTTGCCTTTTATCCATATTTTAACTTGCAATTGTCAATTTGTTTAATTTAAAATGGCCTATTTGTAACTACAAGAGCAGAGCTATGCTTGTGCTCTCATTTTCATTAACCCTTTGGGGGTTTCAGCCGTACTAGTACGGCTTATGACCCAGGGTTTTTGACATACTAGTACGCTTAAATTCTAGCGCCCTCAAATCTAGTGGGAGAAAGCTGGTAGGCATACATATGAAAGAATGGGTCTATGTGGTCAGTGTTTACCTGGAGTTTACCTGGAGAGAGTTCCGGGGGTCAACGCCCCCGCGGCCCGGTCTGTGACCAGGCCTCCTGGTGGATCAGAGCCTGATCAACCAGGCTGTTGCTGCTGGCTGCACACAAACCAACGTACGAGCCACAGCCCGGCTAGTCAGGAACCGACTTTAGGTGCTTGTCCAGTGCCAGCATGAAGACTGCCAGGGGTCTGTTGGTAATCCCCCTTATGTATGCTGGGAGGCAGTTGAACAGTCTCGGGCCCCTGACACTTATTGTATGGTCTCTTAACGTGCTAGTGACACCCCTGCTTTTCATTGGGGGGATGTTGCATCGTCTGCCAAGTCTTTTGCTTTCGTAGTGAGTGATTTTCGTGTGCAAGTTCGGTACTAGTCCCTCTAGGATTTTCCAGGTGTATATAATCATGTATCTCTCCCGCCTGCGTTTCAGGGAATACAGGTTTAGGAACCTCAGTATAAAAAAATCCTGCAGCACACAGTACATAATGAGAAAAAAAAAAAAACTTTGACCGTGTTTTTCGTTTGGTATTTATTGCTGTATTCTAGTTTTCTTGGTCTCATTTTATAGAATGGAAGACATATTACAGAAATTGAGATGATTTTGACTGGTTTTACAATGAAAAGTACCTTGAAATTGAGCTCGAAGTAGCAGAAATGTCCGATTTTTACCAAAGTTCAAAAGTAAACAAATCATGCCAAGCGTCCAATACACGTCAACTGGTGAGTCTAATATTCTTTCACAAGTGCGCTGATATTATTTATACCATTTCTACACTAATGCAGCAGTCTGCATAACAGTAAATCTTCTATTCTTTGTAAGAATAAAAATTGAAAGTGGAAAGCCAAAGAAATATAAGAGGGGCCTGGGGATGTGACTAACGAACAGAGGAAATGTTATTTTAGTGCCATGAATGTCTTTCTTGTTTATTCTGGACCCTATTTGGAAATTGGCATCTTTTGAAATTTGTGTGAAATTGGCAAAATTGCTGAAGTCTGACCACTGTATTGGATAGTTGAAATCAGTAAATGGGTGGTTTCTTGTACTCATTCAATAGAAAAAATGGAGTTCTAGAGAAATAGTTATGATTTTTGTCGACTAGTACACTGGAATTGGCCAAAAATAGGGCTCAAAGTGGGCAAAATCGCCGATGCGTAAACATCGTCGAGACCGCTAACTTTGCGAGAGCATAATTCCGTAAGTTTTCCATCAAATTTCATACTTTTGGTGTCATTATGATCGGGAAAAGATTATCTATCTTTTCATAAGAAAAAATAATTTTTTTTTTAATTTGGCCGACCCTGAAAACAAGTCTCGGAGAGGGTCTGTCGATCCTCAAAGGGTTAACACAAACTCTCAAATGCTCTGACATTAAATGTCCCTTGTGTGACGAGATTTAAAAAATAATTCTCTTCTAAAATAATAGAGAATAAATTTCTGAAAGTAAGACCAAAAATAATGAAATTACAAAAGCATGAGTTTGAAGGGCATGGATCAACAGTGGGTCTTGCCATCTGGCACCCAATATTTTCATTTTTCATATTTCTATTTTTTTATATATTTTTGGTTTATTGTCAATTATAAACATTAAAACATGGTTTTCTATGGACACTGGCTGTATTATCAAGCATCTTCATACCCAAATTTTGTGGCACAAAATTCCACACAAAAATAGTTTATAAACGCTCACTAAACCTTACATTTGTATCTACTTCATTTTTTTTTTTTTACTGTTTTTAACATACACACATTATGTATACTGTATATACTATTAGAATTGGTACATGGAATTCCTCAAAACAAGGTGTATAAGAAATAGTGATGTCCCACAGGACTTACAGATATACAGTGGTACCTAGAGTTACGAACTTAATTCGTTCCAGAAGACTGTTCCAGTGCTGATACCGAACAAATTTGTTCCCATAAGGAATAATGCAAATTAGATTAGTCTGTTTCAGACCCCAAAAATACACTTACAAAAGCACCTTACAAAAATACACTTACATTATTGTTCAAGTTGGGAGCTGTTCGAAACTCAAGGTGCCACTGTATCTTGTATCTTTGCAATGATGATATCCTCTCATGGCATAAGCACACACACACATCACTTCTGAGCCTTTATTTTATTTTCAGTGGGAGTAATTAGTACTAAGTAGTGACTGTGATCACTAGACCTCAGACCAAATTAAAATTATTAGGCTTGAGTTTGTAACCTGTGGATTAGCTGGGTTTGAAGTGAAATTAAGGGCATTTTGAAAAAGCAAAAAGGCACAAAACCGTGACTGGAACAATACACAAATATTCCGCACATAGGAGAGAGGAGCTTATGATGATGTTTTGGTCTGACTTGGACCAAAGTCACACTGACAGGAAGGAGGGAGCCAGTATGTATATGTATGTGTGTGTGTATATATATATAGGCAAGCTAGCAGGGATGGAGGAAGAGAGGAAGTAGGAGTAGCGGTAAAGATAAAACTGGTTGTGTAAAGTAAGGAGAGAGAGAGAGAGAGAGAGAGAGAGGAGAGAGAGGAGGAGAGAGAGAGAGAGAGAGAGAGAGAGAGAGAGAGAGAGAGAGAGAGAGAGAGAGAGAGGAGAGGAGCGAGAGAGAGAGAGAGGAGAGAGACGAGAGAGAGAGAGAGAGAGAGAGAGAGAGAGAGAGAGGAGAGAGAGAGAGGAGGAGAGAGAGAAGGAAGATAGAGGAGAGAGAGAGAGATTAGAGGAGAGAGAGAGAGGAGGAGAGAGAGAAGAGGAGAGATGAGGAGAGGGAGGAGAGAGAGGGAGGAGAGAGAGAGGAGGATGAGGCGGAGGAGAGAGAGGGATAGAGGTAGGCGATGAGGATGAGGAGGAGGGAGGAGGAGAGCGGAGGAGGCAGGAGGAGGGAGAAGAGGAGGCGGAGGAGGCGGAGGAGGCGGAGGAGGCGGAGGAGGAGGAGGAGGAGGAGGAGGAGGCGGGAGGAGGAGGCGGAGGAGGAGGAGGAGGAGGCGGAGGAGGAGGAGGCAGAGGAGGAGGAGGCGGAGGAGAGGAGGAGGCGGAGGAGGAGGCAGAGGAGGAGGAGGCGGAGGAGGAGGAGGCGGAGGCGGAGGAGGAGGAGGCGGAGGAGGAGGAGGGAGGGGAGGCGGAGGAGGGCGGCGGAGGTGGAGGCGGCGGAGGTGGAGGCAGCGGAGGTGGAGGCGGCGGAGGTGGAGGCGGCGGCAGAGGCGGCGGCAGAGGCAGCGGCAGCAGCAGCAGCAGCAGCAAGCCTAACACTTCTTTTGTGCTCCTTGAGTCTGTCAGAAAGGTCACAGCCAGTTTCTCCAAAGTACAGTGATACCTCGAGTTTTGAACAGCTCCCAACTCGAACAATTATGTAAGTGTGTTTTTGTAAGTGCTTTTATAAGTGTATTTTTGGGGGTCTGAAACGGACTAATCTAATTTACATTATTCCTTATGGGAACAAATTTGTTCGGTATTGGCACTCAAACAGCCTTCTGGAACAAATTAACTTCGTAACTTGAGGTACCACTGTACTGAAGAGGAACATGAAATAGAGTAGACATCAGGGGGCATCTATAGCAGGAGGAGAGGTACAAACAAGATTAGTGCGAAGGGTGTTAGTCTGGCGAAAAGTAAGTTTGATGTCTAAGGAATAGAGAGAGTTGTTGAGATTAGAAAGACCAGATTACTGGGAAGGCAGAGAACAGATTTCCCAGGAGTAGGAAGTTTGGGAGGGAAGAAAGTCCATTTAGCATGTAAGAAGGCAGAGTTTACAAAATGGGAAAGGTTGTCAAGGTGAAAGAATGAATTACGAAGAGTGGAAATGTCTGATTTAAGGAACTGAAGGTCACAAATGTGGAGAGCATGGAGAGAGCGAGAGAGAGATAAGAACATTTTTCTTGACAGAGGGAGCATGATAAGAAAAGTAATGAATGTACATGCCACTGTGCATAGGCCTGCAATACATGGAAAAAGCAAAACCTGTATCCGAATGGTGGATACATACATCAAGGAAGGAAGGCGCTAGATTATCAAGGGCAGTGGGAAATGATTGGAAGAGGCTAGAGTCAAGAGGCCAAAGAGCAAAGATGTTATCTACATAGCAGAAGAATAGTTTCCAAGTATTCCATGTAAAGGTTAGCAAGAACAGGGGATGGAGGAGAGCCCATAGCAACACCGAAGGTTTGAGAATAATATTTACCTTGGAAGGAAAAGGAATTTGAGTCCACACAAAGGCGAATATGATCAAGATATCAGTAGGTATAGGGAGATGAAGTATATACCCTTCACTGGCCTTCTCTCTGAGAAAATTAAGAACATCAATTTATGAACCTTAGTCCTGGTTTTGTCTCCATAGATGCCTTCCTTTCCTATTACATTGTCAAATGCTCTACACATATGACTTAACCCGATTTTTGTTTTTTTCTCCTCTTTCTACCTCTTCTCCTTTCCTATTTCTTGTTTTGGGTTTTCTTTCTTCTGCCTTAGGTGTTTTATCCTATACTTTTTTCCATCCCTTGTGTTTTTGGTCTTACTCCTTGTGGGCTCTCAGCTCTCCTGCAGCACTCCTCTTTCATGGCCTTTGACTCCACCACTGCTACTACTACTATTTCCCTGCTATCTTTGGCTCCTACCTTCTCTTTTGCCTCCTTTTTTCTATATTACTCTTGCTTTCCATTTTGAATTTTTATTCTTACAAAACATAGAAGATTTACTGTTATGCAGACTACTGCATTATTGTAAAAATTA